TTAAATATGGCTCTTAGAACAATGAGTTAGTTCCTTGAAGTGTTCAGCATAATGTCTTAAGCCTATTATATTTTCAACAAATTTGATGAATGTGCAGATGAATGAAGTGACACTTGTTTGATATGTGATATATACTATCCTATATACTTTCCTCTCATTTTACGTTTAATCAATGGACATCATACTTGAACTGAGTTTCTTGTAGATGGCATGAAGTTGGATTATATTTTATTATCCATTATGAGAGTTCTTGTTTTTAAATGAGCATGTTCAGATCATATACAATAAGGTTAGTATTTATATAGTTGAGTTTAAATTGGTGGTATTCAGAATTCTGATGTTCTTTCCCAATCTGCCTATTGTTATTTACTTTTCAGACTAAAAAGTATTCTGTTTTCCCATGCATTCTGTCCAGGTATCATGATTATATTCAATAGGAGAGAAGGTGTGGAGTGTGCTTATACCATCTTTCCTATGACTGGAATTCTGGAAAGAATTACTTCCAGAATTCCTCTGAACCTGGGGGTCAGATTCCAAGTTTCTGACAGTCACATTAATGTTCCTATTAGACCTCAGAATATCAAATTTGCTGTTAAGCCAACATATTTATATAAATACTAGAGGCCTGATGCATGATGGGATCCAGCCAGCCCACCCCAATCAGAGTGATCAGGCCAGCAACTATGGAGAGGGGCCCCAGGTGGCCCCTGCCCCCTGGTTGAACTCCTGAACTCCCTGTCAAGGGGACAATTTGCATATTAGCTCTTTATTATATAGGCTTTTCCTTCAGCAATTACAACAACAAAAAATACCCTTGAGGACTCCCAGGACAGGCAGCTCATAAAATTCTTCCTAGCTCAGTGCTGCCAACTCAGAAGTCCCTGTAGTTCAGGGATGCTTGAGGTGAGCATTCATGATGCAGACCAAACTAAACAGAATCTCTAGGCTGGCAGGTGACTGATGTCACAAAATAATTGTATGTATTAAATTTTTAAACCAATATTATGTATCAAGTCCTGTTCTAAGTATAGAGAATGTAGCAGTGAACAAGGAAATGGCCCTTTCCTTTGGCAGGAGGCAAGGTGGGGTGTGGTGGAGGAGTACAATAGACACCTTGAAAAATAAATGAATCAAATAGTTTCAGTTACAGACAAGTGCTGTAAAGAAGTAAAAATAGGATAGGGTGGAGGGAGGGCAGAAAGGCTCTCTACGAAGTGACATTTAAGTTAAGATCTGAATGTTGGAACCTGGGGAAGATATGGGCGACAACAGTTTACAGGAAAAGAGAAATAAAATTGCAAAGTCTTGGTCTACCTTTTTTCTATCTTCTCTTCTGCATTTGTGACCACAGATTTTAAATTTGGACGAGGAAAAGTTGTGTTTCTCCCCAGGCAACAGCTGGAGGCCTTAATTAACCTCAGATTGTATATAGATAATAAGCAACACCAGTGTTTGGCTGATATAACCCATTTTCTCAGCAATATTTTTCTTCAGATCAATGAAAGCTCAAGTTCTGGCCCAATGTTAAAGAAATAGCGATAGTGCATTTTAGCTAGATATGAGGTTTAGAACAAATCCTTGGATTATGGATAAAAGAATCCAGATTTGCTATTTCTCTCATTCATAGGAAATACTAAAATATAATTTGTATTTTGAATAGTATTTTTCAATTATGAAAGCAAGCATGCAAAGTCCATTTATGGACAGTAGGTGTCAGCCTATAACTACAAACTAGTGGTTGAGTCTACCAACAACCTCACAAGTATTTGAAAAAGAAGGGGAGGAGGAAGGAGGCAGGGCTGGCATGGCCTCTGTACGCTGGAGAAACAGAGCAGATGCTGAGGTAATGCAGGACTTACAGCACAGATATGAAGGGGAAAGTTTTAAAAAGTTAAGGTCTCTCAAACACTCACTCAGCCAAGGGTAAAGTCCCTTCAGTTTTTTGTATGTCCCTTGCTGACATACCACATCCTGCCCACAAACACCACTGGGCACCTGATACTATAACCCACCCTTATACAGAACCTCAAATCAGCACTTCCCATTCAAGTGAGAACATCTTCTTCCAGTAATGGTTATGTGCCTCCTATGAGACTTACTTCCACAGATGACAACTATAAACTCTGGGCAAAATACGTCTAATTGAAGATACTTGGAAGGGATCAAAAGCAGGCAGGTACTAGAGGGGAATCAACAATTGGATAAAAGGGTGCTTTTTATTTTTTCTGGCTCTTCGCCTGTAGTCATGTTCAAGGTTATGTCATGAAACAGCAGAGAATGGGGGTGGAATAGCTAACGTTTATGTGTGTGTGTGTTGGGGGGGGGGGGGGAGAGGAAGGGAATCCATAGTTTTACTAGTTTGAAGTACTAAGGACAGAGTTTGAAGGCATATACAGCCTCTAAAAGTGAGAAGAAAATCCCCCAAAATTGAAAGCCAAAGAGGGAAAACTATATACAAACTCTGTGGCTGACCCCCACAATTTGAACTAACCATACACAGGGAAGACTTCAAGCAGCCTAATTTAGATGAAAAGAACTGAACTGAGATTTGAGCTGCTGCCCTCTGCAGGGGAGACAGCTTGCAGTCTGAGTTCAGCCAACTTAGCTGACTGCTTAAAACAAACAAAAAGAAAAAAACACACCCAAATTTCTAGAGAAACACAATAAAATCCAGACTTAAAATATCAAAATCACAATGTCTAAAGCAATCCAAAATTATCCTATATGCATAGAAACAGAAAAACATAGCCCATATTTAGGAGAAAAGACAATTAAGTCCAGTTCTGAGGTGACCAAGATATTGCAATTAGCATTAGAGAATTTTAAAGCAGTCATTCAAGAAGGTGTTCTTGGGGAAACAGATATACAGAGCTAAGAGGGAAACAAACACTGGCCATTCCAATTAACCTACAAGGTTCTTCATTTGTACATTATAATTTGTACTAGAGGCCCGGTGCATGAAATTCTTGCATTTGAGGGGCTGTTGGAAGCTTCCCATTGTCTTCACTAGCAGAGAGGTGTGGACAAGGAGCCCTGAACTGCTAGTGAACCTTGAGCCCTGGCAAAGGTCAGAGCTCTGCACTAACTGTGTAGTAGAGATAATGGTAGCTGAAGCAATTTCCCAACCAGATAGTCATGTAAGTCCTTACTGATAAGATTGTCTGTCACTGGAACTGCCTGCCTAATGGCTATAAGTGTATCCCAAACTGAATAAAAGGATGGCAGGGCCTGAACACTAGTGGAGTCCTTTCTCTTGGGTTGGGTTCTTCCTGTCCCCTCCCCACCTCCGATTTCCAAATTATTGTTTCTTGTCTATGTCACCAGAGCCCAAATCCTGAACCACGCAGGACATGGGTCATTCACAGGAATCATTAAGTGAGAATTAAGCAGAAATTGAGGACAAGAGGTAAGTGCTTGGAGTTTAACAGGTGGAAGCTTTGGAATCCAAGGGAGCAGGGGGTTTCTGAGACTAAGACTAAAAGATGGGGTAGGGTTCTGGGGGCAGCAGGTTCTATGCTGGTGGAAGATCCCAGCACTGCCTGCAGAGAACACTCCAGTATGGGACTGGATAATAGTGTGTGATCTTGGGAGTCATGGCACCGATGCCCTCTGCCTACCTTCAGAGCACCATGTGGGAATGGAAATGATCTGATTGAAGACCAGTGTGGACAGAAATCTAGTTGACCTTTACCTGACTCTTTCCATTAGGTACACCCTGGGATTTTTAGTTGAACCTGAGGAGAACACTACCAATGAAGGAAATCAAGTTTTCCACCAACTGGATAGTTGAAGCTCAATGCAGAATATAATTGTTAAGAATAAATTTCAGGTTCACTAATGTGGTACCATTCATGAAAGTGTTTGCTTGGACAATGACCAATCCAGAGTACAAAATGAAAAAACACATTGCTTATAGACCATGAGAACTAGGTGTGACTTCTGTGAAGAGTCGGGACTCTCATTTCTAGATTATGAATCTAAGGTTTTAGATTTTAAAACATTTGTTCCGACTTGGCCTAAAGCTGGCATGGATCTAAGGCAGTCGGTCATCATCTTCAGTCTACTTTTCTGTCTACCTCACCACTTGAGAAGTTCAGATCTACTTGCAGCAATTAAAATACATTATCATTTCAACATGGCTATGAATAGCCCTTATCAAAGTTAAATCTCTTAATTTTAAAATGAAATAAAGAAATCAGAATTTTAAAAATATCGAGTTCTATAGTTGAAGTAAGAAGAAGAAGAAGAAGGAGGAGGAGGAGGAGGAGGAGGAAGAGGAGGAGGAGGACGACGACGACCAGGGGTATGTAGATTTTCTAGTTATGGAAAATGATCTCAGCTACAACTAAAATAGTTGATATTACAGTTTCTGATAATTAAATATAGGCATTTTCAGTATAGATATGTGTATGTATGTGTTGGCTATCAACCACTGGGTAGGAGTTTCTTTTCCAGAGTATGTGTGTGTTCATTTGTATTAAACCTACTTAGTGGCTGAAAAAAAAAAACCCACAATAAAACCAAATTTATTAAACCTTCTGATTGGGTCTTATTTTTTAAGAATCATCCTATATAATTCTACTGCTAATCTAATCCAGCCCTTCCACCAAATATCCAGGCTTCTTTATTCTATGTCTTTGCCACACCTTGTAACCTTTTGATCTTTGCAGGCTAAAGGTTGATTGGAGTTTGGTTTCTTGTTTCTGTCTGGCCATCTGTGCCAGAGAATACAACTGCCGTCTGCAGAGAACTTCTTCCTAGCCGGATGAGAGAAGCTGCACTGCGATGAGACCTTACCAAGCAACCTGGGCGTTCATTCATCAGTCAGTCCAGCAGCTGTCCCTGGGTCACTCACTGTGAGTTCCTGCTCTAGGTAGACTCAAAAGGAAGAGTGTGGGCAGAGTTGCGCCCACATGGTGAAACTGTCCTTTGAATCTTGTGTCACCGAGAGATGCTGTTTCACAGAAGGTTGGCATGTATGCCCTTCTTCAGCTGTCAGTTCAGATGTCCCGATAGGAGCCTCTCGGCCAGCAGGGTCCATGACGGACGAGGGTAAAGAGAAGCACCACTAGGATACCAGACACCAGGCAAAAGGCAACGGCAAGGATGAGCCGTAGGACTGTGGAAAAATAGGAAGAACATTAATGCGTTAGAAATATATGAAGATTACTAATTAATCAGTGTTGATTTCTGCCTTTGAAAAAATTCATGTTTTTATTGATTTCAGAGAAAGGAAGGGAGAGGGAGAGAGAGAGAGAGAGAAGCATCGATTGCTTGCCCCCTACATGCCCCTACTGGGGATCGCGCCTCCAAACCTGCCATGTGCCCTGACTGGGAATCCAACTTGCAACCTATGGGTGCACAGGATGACACCCTACCAACTGAGCCACACCAGCCAGGGCTCTGCCTTAATTATAAATGTCAGTGGCATTTCTGAAGCAGTCTTGAAATCAGCATAGTGTGGTGTAAAGAGCAATAGACTAGGACTCGAGATGACCGAGGTTTCAGTTCCGGTATGATTTTTGAATTTTGTGCCTCAACTCCTCCACTGTAAAGGGAGGGTAATTGATTGAAGTATTTCTAAAGTCTTTTCCAGGACTAATTTCATGTATTTTTATACAATTAAAATTATTTAATTGTTCCTGGTCTCAGGGTCAAATAAATTTCTGAATAATCAACTGCAATCATTAATTGGATCTAAATGAAATGGAATATCATCTTTCAATCTTTGAATTTGATTTTCGGTAAATATCTTTTAGAGAGAAAACCTTGAGCATATCTATTTCACCACTTGAGAATTCCAGATCTATTTGCAGCAAGCATTTTTTAGGATAACTGTACTACTGTTAATCTGTATCTTTATTTACACATATCCCTTTGACAGCTGACCAGGCATGATACAGATATAGGGGGTCGTTTTAAATTAGATGCTATTCATTATTTCATCTGTAAAGTTATCCTAACACCACCCACACATACATCCTAGTCAACTATAGTATGTATATCATAAATATGTAAATATTTGTCTGATTTTCATTGTAAAAATATGGATTTCTTGTTGACAAAGGTAATGGGAGAGCAAACATCTCTGATCCTGGAAGCTCTGTCTACAGAACCCTAGTTAGTGAACCCAGTTGTAAATCATTTATTTAGCCTAACTTTATAATTGTAGAGGTGATAAAAATGAGAAGTGGAGAGATTAGATAATTTGGTTAAGTTAAAACAGATATTTGAATTTGGATTGGAATGCATAGGATCTTATCAGTTGAATAATTTTTTAAAAAATTATTTTCTTGATTTTTTCAGAGAGGAAGGGAGAGGGAGACAGTTAGAAACATTGATGAGAGAGAAACATCTATCAGCTGCCTCCTGCACACCCCTTACTGGGGATGTACCCACAACCAAGGTACATGCCCTTGACCAGAATCAAACTTGGGACCCTTGAGTCCACAGGCTGATCCTCTATACACTGAGCCAAACCAGTTAGGGCAGTCGTATAATTTTAAAAGCCATATATTCACTAATGACTTCCAAATTTAAATATTCTTCAAGCTCAAGACTCATATATAAACAGTGTCCTTGACATATTCCCTCGGACATCTAGTTAGGCATTCCAAAACTGCACTCCCTACTCTGCTCACCCCTATCCCCCACACCCTGCCAAATCTGTTCCTCCTACATCCTCCCCGCTTCAGTTGATAGAAACCTCCTTCTCCTAGTGTCTCACTCCAAAACTCTTGGAGTCTTCCTTGACTCTTTCTCTCACATCCTATACCCAAAGTCAGGAAATCCTGTACTTTCTATTAAGAAACTGTATCTGGAATCCAATGATTTCTTCCCTTCTCTGCCATCACCCTGCTTTGAGCCACCATCATTTATTTTTATTTTTGGCCAGGATTACTACAATACCATTCTGTCTTGCTCCTTAGCTTCTATCCTTCTTTCCCTACAATTAGTCTGTTTTTAACCCAAATGACTTCAAGTCAAATCAGCATATTCCTCTACTTAAAGTTTGCAGTGAATGCTCATCTACAGGAATGAAAGCCCAAACCCTGATTAAAACAGTTGATGAGACTCTTCATCATCTGATTTTTTTAACTTCTTGGATTTCCTCCCCTGTCCCTGTCCTTCCACTTCTCTTTTGGCACACAGGCCTTCTTGTCCATCCTTAAACATGCCAGGCACACTCCCCCTTCCTGCCTTTGCTTATTGTTATCATTGGATGCTCTTTTCACCTGTCTCTGCATCAGGCCACTGCATCACCTTCTTTCTCAAATCTCATCTTTGCATTGAGGGCTTTCATTTAAAGGTGCAATCTGTATGTCCTCTCCCCAGATCAATTTCTAGTTTGGTGCTAATGATCTTCACTTTCCAAAGTACTTTCTTATCATGTTTATTAATTATTGTCCATCCTTCTTCCCTCTCTAATAGAATGTAAGCTTCATGAAGGCAGACAATTTTGTCTCTTTTGTTCATGAGTTTATCTAATGCACTTATAACAGTACCTGCCCCATAGCAAGTGCTCAATAAATATTTGTGGAATGAACCAATGATCTAGAACTCCTGGGTTCCTGACTGTTAGTCCAGTGCTTTTCTCATGATGTCAGGAATTCTCTTAGCAACATGAGAAAGTGAATATTAATAGAATTAGATCCTGGGAGTTGGGTGCCATTAGTATTGAGGATGGAGTTAATGGTAAGTTGGAGGGAACTAAATGGAATTGAGGAAGGAAGGGATGGACTAAATGGAAATGAGGAAGGCAGAGATTAATGATTCTTAAAAACTTATGTTCATGACTATATTTGGAAGTTATTTTATTTTTTTAAAAATGTATTTTTATTGATTTCAGGGAGGAATGGGAAGGGAGAGAGAGATAGAAACATCAATGATGAGAATCATTGTTTGCATGCCTCCTGCACACTCCCCACTGGAGATTGAGCCCATAACCTGGGTATATGCCCTGTCCAGGAATTGAACTGTGACCTCTGGGTTCATATGTCAACACTCAACCACTGAACCACGCCAGCAGAAATGATTTTCAATGTTTGTTTGTTTGTTTTTGGCTATGTTGTCATGGTATTATAGTTTAAGGGAATTGGTTTTTCCTCTTTCCTTTCTTCATGCCTCCCTAGGCATGCAGAGAGTACACACTATATGCCAGACCAGCTGTGTGGTAGGTTCTGGGGATCTATGATCCCTTCCCTTGAGGGGATTCAATATTTAGAAGAATAATCAGATAGATAATTATGTGATACATAGTAAAATAGAGTTGTAAAAAAATATGTCTGTCTTGCAATTGACACAAGGTATTCTATTTGGAAGAGAAAGAGTTTGGAAAGTCTTTGATAAGATCTGAATGGGCCTGTGTGCTAAATAAGATTTTGCCAGGAGACAGGATGAATAGCTCAAGAGTATGTTTGGGAAAATAATAAGCAGTTGCATGCAACTGGAGTATAGATTATGGTGAGGTGAGACCAGATATGTAGGTTGGGGTTCAGGATTTAGAAGGTCTGGTTTGCCGTGGGGCAAATGGAAATCATTAACAATTATAACACATGGAAGTGACATGGCTTAATTTGTGTTTTAAAAAACCTCAGAACTGCCTGGACGACGTGGCTCAGTTAGGGCTTATTTAATTCTGTCTCCCTCTCCTCTTGCCTGCTTCCCCACCTCCCTGCCCAGATCTACAAGCCACAAGAGACAATTTTCTTATATGGCTTCTGTTTCCTCAGCAAACTTAGTGCATGCTACATAGGGACTTACTGTGTACATGATAGGTATTCAATAAATATCAATTGCTTAGTAAATATTCATGTACTTTGACACACTAATCCCATTTTTTGGAATTTGCCTCTAAGGAAATGGTGCACAAGACAGCGTGGGATGGAAAGGAACTTTGATATAATAGAAATATGGTGTTGGAAAGTGTTAGACTTGAATCCAGACCCTATTACTTGCGGCATGTGATTTTCTGAGGTTCAGTATTTTTCTCTGCATAATGGGGATATGTGAAGTTGTCAGGAAGAGGAAAAGGAAAAGAGGCTACTGAGTTAGGCACTGATGGCTTTCAAAAAGGAAGTTTCAAAAAACATGAAGAATCGGGGTGTGTATGGGAGGCGATGAATTGATGTTTCTCACATCTATGTTTTTCTCTAAAAATCAATAATCATATCCTTGGGGTGAGGATTAAAAACATGAAGGAAGTTTGATCAATTTACAGAATAGTTCCAGAGAGGGAGATGAGGAAATAGAGTTAGTGCAAATTATTAGTTTGAGAAAATTGAGATTGAAGAGAATGATAGAATAGGCACTTGAAGGCATTCTCTGATGAGAAGATTTGGTCATTTTCATTGAAGAAGGGATGGAGCCTTCTACTATGAAACAAATGAAGATAAGAGACTCATTTAGGTCCGAGGAAATGGAAGCATTGGGGACCATATGAACAGGGAAATGAGTTAGGTTTCTCAAGGAGGAACATGTTTTTAGAGGGACAGTAGTAAAGGCAGGTTCAAGCTAATGAGATATTTTGAGGTAGTGACAGAAGTTAAAAGGGCTTTCAATAGATTATCTTGGTCTTCTTAGAGTTAAAGAAGCCAAGATAGAATTAGAAATTTCATAAAAACACACACAGCACAATGCCTTTCTATAGAAAATGAGAAAAGAGACTCAAGCAAGGTTGAAAGATCCAGCTGCAGTTGGAACAGAAATGTCGACACTCATGGTTTGAAATGGTGACAATAGAGTTAAGCTTCACCCAGCAGATCAGAATGGAGAAACTGTGTGATTGATCTGACATAGGGTTGGATATTGGTATGGTGGGCAGAGTATGAGGTAGAGCATTGTTAGGAATGTCCAAATTGCTTAGATGAGGGCAGAAGTGGAAATGAGGTGTGAGTTGGTATATACTAAAGCAAGTTTTCAATGTCTTTTTATGAATGATGAGACATGCCTTGGGAAAACTGTTGATAATGGCAAAAAGAAAGGGAAGAATATTACAATCAGATGGCCTAATTTCTGAGATAGGAGAGGTGCTGGGATAGGTATCATTGAACAAGCTTTTAAACAGCAATGGGGGAATAAGAGAATTAAGAGGTCAAATAACACAGACATGTTGATATATGCATATGTATATATATAATCCATGACTACGTCTTTATCGGGCAGTCACATTTGAGGCTCAATCATAGCTTTCCTCTATTTATTAAACAACTGAGTGCAGGCTTCTGACATCTGGATCCGGCCATGAGGAAGCCAGGCTAGGTATGGACAGCTGAACATTTATTCAATTAGCAAATATTGGTTGAAGGTACTAGGTTCTAGGCATATAGACTGCCTTGGGATTCAAGGAGGAAAAAAGTATGGATCCTACCTTCAAGGCTCATGGTTGACTCTTGGGCATGTGTATATGTGCGATAGAATCTCAACTTTGTAAGAATTATTAGGGGACACGGAAACTGCCTACCAGTGCATCTCCTTCCTATGATGTAACTGGAGTGGAGATTAAGGTAAAGGTTAGGAGAGTGCAAGTGAAGAAGATCTGATTGTGTTAGTAAAGTTTGGGAATTAAAAAAGCATTTTCTAAAAAATAATTTTTTTTAAGTAACACAGTATGGGACTTAGACTTATCATGAAATTTCCAGCAAAAGCTCTGGTTAATTTAATTGATGTGAGAATTAAATTATTTGGATCTACTAGCTGAAAACACTGCCTACAAGTATGAGGAGGATTTCATGGGTAGAAATCCCCTCAGGCGTAGGGTTGCCAGGCATTCTATATATCTAGAACATGTCCTTACTTAATGACATTGTCCTGCTTACTGTATTGGACTTCTCAGAACATCCTAAATGTCCTTGATTTGGCCTTTTAAGATATATATTATAAAAATTCAGCGGCTAGAAATATGATATTTATCTTGGCATCTTGTACTTTTATTTGCTAAATCTGGATGCCCTATTAAGGAGCCATTCAACCTCTACATCTTCAGTGCTTCACCTTGCTCTCTTGTGTCTTGTCAAAGCAAGTGACCACCAGCCCAATGGACACTCCCAGTCCCAGAAATTTCCTAACACAGACACAATTTGTCTTCCTGAAATGTTTCCCTGCTGCCTTTACAATCATTGTTTGAGACCATATATAACAAATGCAATCCTTTTTACTTACAGAAGTTCAAATATTAAATTCACTTTGTTGGAGACCACCTCACGTTATAGACTCTTAATAAGCTTTCTTTGAGCTAAAACCAGTTGTGTACTGGTAACTGGATCTCATAAAACAAAACAAAAACAATAACACACTGATTTGTGGCATATGCTTATTTCTTGATGAAAATACTCCAGCCGTGACACCATGATCCATTTCAAACCACCAAAAGGAAGTCATTGAATCATAGTTGGGGAGCAATGCTCACGCTCCTCTCTTGATCTGCTTGAACTCACCGGTACCTGAATTTTCTTCTTCTTAACATATTTTGCTGCTTAATTATATTTCATCCTATGTGGATCTTGAATTGTTGATAGTGGTGTTTTGAGGAAAATATTTACAAACATACTACAGGTAGATTTGATAAGAGATGACAGATTAGCTGTGGAGGATGGAGAGGTTGGGGTCAAAAAACACTCGCAAGTTACTTGGTATTGCTGCCAATCAAGATGGATTTTAAGAGCAGGTTCAGGGAGGAAAGATAACTAATGTATACACTCATTGAGCAAATGTTCATTGAGCACCAATCCATGTCAGGCATAGGCACTTCTAGGGGTCCAGGATAGATAGAGCAGAGAACAAAATAGAATCTTGGCTATTGTGGAGATAACATTTTATTTCTTTAAAATTGGCCCCTTAGAAATTTTCTGGGAAGTAACTCCCCTATCCACTCCAACTTCAAGCCAATAGGACATTTGATATGCCTTTCAAGTACCTTGTACCACATTTTTAGAAACTCCCATCCAAACTGATTTCAGATGGGTCAGTTATCACTTCCTGCAAGAAGCCTCCCTGACAGTCCTTACTACCTCCCTCCCTCCAAATCCAGGTAGCTCTTGTTCCCATAGCAACTCTTGTAGACATAAGACATGAATCCTAGTTATTCTGTGTAATATGTATCTCTTTAATTCATACTATATCATAACTTGCCCAACGATGTTTTCTTAGAAAGTTTTATCCTGAATAGTTGGAGCAGAGACATCCATCAGCTTAGCCTTTATCCAAAGCAGTAAAGTCCAAACTAAATACATTTTCAATGTATAATATTAATGTAAGCCAGTCAAATAATTTTACTTTATGTAATTTTCCTCCTGTTACATTAAAATAAAGCCACAAAACAAACAAAAAAAGTCCCTAAAATCTGTCCTTCTGGAATTTTATTATAATTAAACACACACACTTTTCATCATCCATTATAAAAATGTAATGGTATTGAACTTCCTAACAATGACTTTATTCACTGTTTTACACTTGGCTCACTTCTGGAGAAAAGTTACATGCACAGAGGGGAAAGAATAATTAGATGATGTCCCCAAAGCCACATATTTACTTGGGAAAGAAATCGTGCAAAAAAGTATGTCAATCAGTATCTCATGTCAGTCATCCCATGGCCAACTGGGAGGGGGAATGGCCTAGCTGTAGACTCTGGTGCCCAGTAGAAACCATCTCTAGAAACCATTTCATTTTTAGCCCTAAGGGTGGCATAGCACATTGTTCACTAGATGTATTGCATCTATAACATGACAAATCTACAGGACTCCAAAGAGTCATCATTTGAACATGATTTCTTCTTATATAGTGAGTAGTTTCAGCAGGACCTGTGGGTGCTTAGGTTTTTTGCAGAAACCAGGACCAAAGCCTTACCCGTCGCTGTTGTTGTCAGAACAGGTATCACAAGCACACTTTCAATATTCCAATAAGCTTAGATCTTGGAGGTATTCAGGACATTCTGACATTTCTAATTTTGTTCCAGGTTGAAACTATGTAATCATACTTCCTCTTTTATATTAATTTCACATGCAACATGTCTTACCTTGGAGCTTTGAGAGCACACCCTGCAGGGCTCTCATCTTGATGTGTTGGGCCTGAGTATCTTGTTCTCAGCAAATTAATTATTTGCTATTATGTCTATATATATGCATATGTACAGCAAAATTTGCTGGCAAGATTGCTCTTGGTTTCATCAAAAGTAACACGAATTTTCCCGTGCCAAAGTGTACAAAGAGGTATTTATTTTTCAGCTCTGCCACCCAATACGTTTTTACAGAACATTGAAAGATAGGATCAGTTTCCTGGTGTAGGTTACTTCTCAACATCTCTGTACTGTAGCTCCTTTCTTTGCTTCTCACAGGAAATAATGGGTAAGTTGGTTCTCTGCCCATTAGCCTTAGGATTAAAGTCTTCCCGTCTTTGCTGTCACCAAGATTTGTTTGAAATCTTTTCTACTTCAGACACTTAAAGAATAGCCTCATTTAATTCTGCCTAAATAAAATAATGGAATATTTAAACAACAAAAGGTCCTATATGGTCAATAGTGTTGCTCATGGGAGCTCCAGGAATTTTGACCAAAGTCTTATCTCTGGTTATATGTTGGCATTGATGCCCTTTTATATTAACACTGAAATAAATCAGGTTAAGGTTTATGGCAAGTGGGGGCAGGGACAGGTAGAGAGGTAGGATTTGTCTGAAATTGGGATCCCTGAAACATATGATTATCACCCAAAACCTGTTTCTTTTAAGTTTGGGGGCAATGGCTATGTTATACTCTCAAAGCACCATCTACCCTAAGGAAGGGCATTCTGCCCTTTCTGCAGGGCTTTGCGTGCATCCCCAATGTCCTTAGTACCTTCATGCTTGCTTGTGAGTCTACATTCCGTGGTCCAGTCTTGGGGGATCACAGGTGCAACCAGCTCAGCAAACTTTGTCAGTGGGCAGCTGGGGGTGCATCCTGGCAGCGTGAGGGGATATGGCTCATGGTTAGTCTCATTCCGGTAGTACATCTCCACGAAGTAGTCCCTGGTGGAGGAAGGTGGTGGAGAGAGCTCTGTTATTGTATTTTTGTATTGTTGAACTTGCCATTGAATTTCTTTCTACTTAGCTTGTAACCCACCAGCTGAGGGATTAGTAGAAAAATATATGGGAATAAGTAGATCTTAACCAATTTAGGGGTGATGATGGGGAGATAGTGCAGGTGGACCAGATCAAGAGAGTGGGAATGGGGGGAAGGGGTTAGTTGGTTAGATGATCAGGGGCATAGGAGGTGGAGAACAGAATACTTAATCAGAGAAGAAATTGAAAGGCAGTGGTTGGAGCAGTTGGGGGTGATTTGATGAGCCTTTGAGTAAGAATTGGGGTGGGATGTTGGGGTTCCTTTCTCCTATTGTTTTTCCTTTATGTTTCTCATTTGCTCCTCCCTTTTCTCTCTTTTCATTCCTCAGTATTTTTCAGTCTTTCTTCTGAATAAATCCATCTCCCCTCTCCTTAACCAGGTCATAAACATGGAACTGAATAATACATAACATATGTGTTTGAATACAGCAAAGACTTTATCAAAATTATACCTCAGAAAGAGAAAATGGGGATATATATATTCAAATCTTTACATTCTCTCATATTAAAGAGGAATCTCCCCATATTTGATTTCAAAAAAACAGTGTACTTTTTGGGGAAGGTGTATTGTCCTAACCAATCTCAGTAGAGTTAGTATGAAATGCTTATGAAAGTCATTTGTCAAAGAGGCCAGAGAGAAATTCAAATAAGATTTAATGATTTATTTTTTTCTTTGGAAGCGGAGTATAATAACCTCACAATTGTACATTTGGATGTTGTATAAACAAGCCTTTAAACATTACTTTAAAAAGCCATATAAAAATATGTAATCACTTATAATCCTGTTCAGTTTGACTCAGTTGCTTGAGCTTTGTCCCGTGCACCGAAAGTTCACTGGTTCGATTTCTACTTAGGGCACATGCTCAGTTATTGGGTCCAGTCCCCATCAGTATATATACTGGAGGCAGCCAATCAATATTTCTCTCCCTCTCTCTCTCTGTCTCCCTCTCCCTTTCTTTAAAATCAATAAAAACGTATTTTTAAAGTAGTTTTAAACAAAGATGTTATGGCAAAGATGACCCAAAGTCTTTCAAGGTTTGTGATTCTCTTTCCATAGAACGTAGTTAAAGCTAAGGAGTGACTACATTTCCCAGAACCCCTTTCACCTCAGTGGGACCAAGTGACTAATTTTAACCAATAGAATGTAAGTAGAAGTGATAGGTTCCTCTTCTGGGCTGAGATGGTTCATAAGCAGGTTGCTTTCTCCACCCTCTTGATCCTTTCTGCAAACTGCCTGCAGATGAGCCCAGCACTCTTAAAAACTGTAGGTCCAAAAGATGGAACTCTGAGTCTCTGAATAACCACGTGTGGCTCCTACTGACTAGGAACATCTACATTGAACTGTCAGATGAATGAGTGAGAAATAAATCTCCATTGATTAAGTAAGCCTCTGAAAATTCGAGGTTCATTTCTATAGCAGTCATATTTACTCTTATTAGTTAATATTGCTGGTAAACAGTTTTAGGGGATTCTTTTGACTCTAGTGGGGAAGACAAGTTAAGATGCATTCAGAAGTTTGGATATAATTGTTTCATAAAATGTGAATGGCAAACATTTTTAATTTAGTGAATTATATAATATAGTATATGATTTTTAAGTTTATGTACCAATCTAAAAATTAAATATTTTAAGAATACAGCTAATCTAACAATAGCAATAATAATAATAATAATAAAAACTTCAGGTCCAATGATACTAATTTTGAAAAGCACCTCTTAGATACTTACCCCTTCTCAAGGTACAATTCCATTATGTGGCAGGAAGCATAGGGAGGAAGGATTCCGTTGAAAACATCTAGCGCCATCTGTAGGCCACTTATAGTAGTGTCATGCTGCAGAGATTTGAAATAAATCATTTTTTAATCTTTACCTTGGTTTCAGATTTACATTCAATAGGTATATATTAAGCATTTGTAGAACACCATGATGGTTTGTGATTCAATTAAATCTCTTATACCCTTAATGACTATAGAAATAGAGAGGAGAAGAACTAATTTTGGTTGAGCATGTGCTTTGTGCTAGGCAGTCAGATTTGCATATACATCATTACTTCCAATTAAAAGATGAAGAAACAGACCCAAGAAAAATTAAGTAGCTTACTTACTGTCATATAATCACACAAAGGAAGAAAGTACATTTAAGCTAAATCTTCTGATTTTTCTCCCATACCTTTTCCCAGAGGCATCTCTCTTTTAGCTTGTGTCATTTTTATTAAAATTTTAAAATATTTTGGAACATATTAATGCTAGATTCTTTTTGTGAATAGGATAATCTGGGGTTTTAAAATTGGAGAGGAATATATGAGGTCATAAATGTTTAAGGAGAATAAAAAATAAGGAAGTAGAGTGTATAGCTTTAAAATAATTGTTCAGCCCAGCCAGTGTGGCTCAGTGTTTGAGCATCAACCTATGAACCAGGAGGTCATGGTTAGATTCCCAGTGAGAGCACATGCCTGAGTTGTGGGCTCATTTCCCAGTGTGGGGTGTGTCAGAGGCAGCTGATCAATGATTCTCTCTCATCATTGATGTTTATCTCTCTCTTTTTCTCTCCCTCCATCTCTGAAGTCAATAAAAAGATATTTAAAAAATATATATTTTATTGATTTTGTACAGAGAGGAAGGGAGAGAGATAGAGAGTTAGAAACATCGATGAGAGAGAGTCATCAATCAGCTGCCTCTTGCACACCTCCTACTGGGGATATGCCCGCAACCAAGGTACATGCCCTTGACCGGAATCGAACCTGGGACCCTTCAGTCCCCAAGCCGACACTCTATTCATTGAGCCAAACCAGTCCCGGCAATAAAAAGATATTTTTAAAAAATTGTTCTGTTTTGCTGGTTTGGCTCGATGGATAAAGCGTTGGCCTGCAGACTGAAGGGTCCCAGGTTCGATTCTGGTCAAGGGCACATGCCTGGGTTACAAACTCAATCCCCAGTAGGGGCAGTGCAGGAGGCAGTGAATCAGTGATTCTTTTTCATCATTGATATTTCTATCTCTCCTTGTCCCTTACTCTCTAAACTTAATAAAATATGTTTTTTAAAAAGAGAGAGAGAAAATTGTTCAATGTTCATCCCAGAATGGCTGAAAAGCATAGGGAACTGGTTTTGTTACCGATTAGCTATCTAATTCTAGGAAATCCTCAACTTCCATATCTGCCAAATGGGTATAACATTTGTTTGTCTAAGTTATATTGCAATGTAATATATTCAAAAGGAGTTAGAACTTTTACTAGAGAAAGGAATGGTTTATAGATATGTGATGTCTCAGAAGTCACACTAGTTAGGACTGGAAACCAGATTAGAAACTAGGGAAATTTGTGCAACCGACTTTCCAGGTCTGCCTCTCTCCAGGAAGCACTACACTACATGAGCTTTTTCTCTGGTCGATGTCATTTAGAACCCCTAATGATAAGCAGAGTCCCCTGTATCTTCAATCACCTCTTCCATCTGTGTGCAGAATGAAAGCGTGGCTTTCTCTAACCACACCACATCTGCAAGATCCTCTGTCATGGAGACAGTGGGTGGAAGACTGAGTCAGCATATTATGTCCAGTTTCCCTGCTCCTCCCAGACTCCATGGTTGGGCATTCACGACATGGTCCCTGCAAACTCCCCTCCACTTGTGCCTCTTCCCCTGTCTCTCCTACTCCAAGGAGGGAGTCTTTTCCCAAATCGCTCCCTTTTCTTTCTGAACCTCAATGAAGCTCTAACTTCACATTGCAACTCTTCTTTCCCTTTCCTCTTCTACCTGTCCATTTGCCATTTGGAGTTTTCAACGTGGATGCCCCCTGGCATTTCAAACCCAGTTGTCTAATTGGTACATTCACCTAGCCCAAAACTACTTCTGTTAATGGTTCCAGCTTCCTCCCAGTCATCGAGGCTTGAAACATTTCCTTTACCTTCCACATCATTGCCTTCCACCCACATTGCAGTTCATCACCACGTCCTGCACTCAGCTTCTCCTCTCCTATGGTTTGGAAAAGTGAGTGTTTGTCTTCTCTGAGGCACCAAAGCGCTGGCTTGATGGCATTTCTGTACTGCTCTGTAGGGTGTTTCTGTATACACTCTTCTTGTCAGTGTTAGATTGCAATTTCCTCAAAGGCCAGAATTATGTGTTTAATTTTAAAAGCTTTGAACACGTGCTTACCACCTACTGGGCAATAAGGAAATGATGATCAAGAGGAGGCCCTCTCTGGCTGGTGTTATAGAAGTATGACGTCCCAGAAATCACACAAAGTTAGAACTGGAAACCAGGTTAGAAACTAAGGGAAACTTGTGCAACTGACTTTCCAATTGGTTGGGGCATCGTCCTGTGCACTGAATGGCTATCTCTTTGCTTTCTGGTCAGGGCACATGCCTGGATTGTGGGTTTGATCCCCAGGTAGGGGGTGTGTAGGAGGCAGCTGGACGTTTCACTCTCACATGGATGTTTCTGTCTCCCTCTCCCTTCCTCTTTCTCTAAAAGTCAATAAAAATATTTTTTTTTAAAAAAAATTAGGCTCCCAGCTTCAAGAGATCACACACCTGAACAATGGAGGTTGAGTGGAGACAAAAATACTTACTGCAGAATACATGATAAGCTTTCTGAGGTTCCATGGCTGAGTTGCTGACTTTATATGATTGAGGATTTCACCGACCAGGACACCTAAAAGAAGATAGAGCAACTGTGAAGCTGAACCAAACAGGGACTTCTCTTTTTAGTTGATAAGCTTTCGGTTAATTCATACTTAGTGATTTTCTCTGCTATGATTCTCAAGACTTAAGAGGAGAGAAAAAGAACTAATTTCGGTTGAGCATCTGCCGTGGCTAGCAGTGTGATTTACATGCATTATTTTACTAAATTCTGACTGTGTAATTGACTGTGTAAGTTAGGAGGCCGAGCAATGTGGAAGGGGTTTCAGACGGCTTTTCCCCAGACCGTTATTAGCCAATGGTGCCCTCCAGTGCAGGCCTGCAATGACCGCATGGTGTGTACTTCTCTGTCTTCACTTCTCATGCTTCCACTCTCTGGCAGTCAGACCTGTTGGGGATCATGGAGAAAGCACTCTCTGTCCAGTTCATGGACTGATTCCTGTGGACCATTTCTGTAGATTCCCTGGGTGTCACTATTAGGGGGGCATGCGGCATCTTTAGCTTCTTCATGTGTCTTCATAGCTGAGAGATTCTGTCCTTCATAGTTGTGGCTCCTGCGGTGGTGAAAGGCAGATGCACAACTCAGCCTCCATCCTGTTTTCAGACACTGAGGCTGAGGGTACCTTGTGGTGCCAGGTGCTGTTTGGGGAGCATGTTGACACAGGGATTCTGCCATCATTGCCTGGAGACTCCTTGTGTCCCTGTTGGTGGTCTCTCTACTCTATTACACACGTGCTCTCTTGTCTTAAGAATGAGCAGTTTTTGCTTTTTTTTTTTTGAATGAGCAGAACATTGATGTTAATAGACACATACTGAGCAGCTTCAATGGGCCAGATACTTTGCTAGGTGAATCACACATTTTTTTTTTTTTTTTTTTTTGTCTCCAGAAAGCTCATAAAATAGTAAGAAGATACTTTATTGGTCTGTATACCAATAAGCACGATAAAGGGTAAATATGGGGGAGGAGATGACCTGCTTTCTGTAGATACTGGGACTTTTTTGATTAAAAATGGAAGGAGCTGGCCAGGCTGATGTGGCTGAACATTGATTGACCCAGGGTTGCTTCTGGCCAGGGCATATGCCCACGTTGTGGGCTCGATCCTTAGTGGGGGGCATTGCAAGAGGCAGCTGATCAATGATTCTCTCTTATCACTGATGTCTCTCCCTCTTTCCTCTCTCTGAAATCAATAAAAACATATTTAAAAAATAAAAAACAAAAACAAAATGGAAGCAGCTGCATGCTACATCCTCAACAGGCCTACATCTTTCTGTCCAGGGAAGATTGCCTTCAGGGAGCCCTTAAGAACTTGTGTTTGATCTTCATGCCACATCAGCACTAAACCCTGAAGCCAATTTTCAGTAGTCATAACAGCCATCTTCAATCAAGCTGTCCCTTGTCAGCAGGTGCCTGTGCAGCAGGCTTCAGTGGATGCTATTAACTCTTGGCTGGGAGTGATTGTACACCTGGTCTTCGGAGAAACTAGGGGAACTATCTCAAGTATCCCCAGGTTCTGACATCCTAGTAATGATGTGTTAGAGGAGGGGAAACTGAGACTCAGAGAGGTTCCGCGACCTGTTCAAGATTATGCAACTCTGAGCAGACAGGCTGAGCTTCTCTGAACCAGCATGTCCTACTTCACAACCCTGGCTCTTAGTCATCGGGCCATGCTGCAATATAAGCTAGCTGCTGAGTTCCCCACTGCATCATTTATCAACGCTGCATAAACTAGACAAAATGCCATTGCCTGAAAGACATAAATGCCACTTCCCTTACTCCTGGGCCACAGCACGGATTGGCATACTTTTTCAGAAAAGGGCCAGTTAGTAGATGTTTTAGGCTTTGTGGGCCATAGTGTCTGTCACAGCTGTTCACTCTTGAGTAGAAGCACAAAGGCAACCATAGGCATGACCGGAGAATGAGTGTGGCTGGGTTTCCATCACATTTTATTTACCAAAAAATAGTCAGTGGGCTGGATTTGGACTACAGGCTGTGGTTTGCCAACCCCTGATCTAGAGCACATAGAGATTTCCATCAATATGAGTATGACCAGCCATGTATTTCTAAATGACCTGGAAGGATTTTCTTGGTGTGTGTGTAGCAGGTGAGTTGGGGGCGTATATTACCCAACAGTGTCACCCCGGAAACCAACAGATAGAACAAACAGTTTTGGCAGAGCTCTGAAGCTGCTGCTCAACGTCCTGATGTTCCCATGTGACTCTGTCACTCAGACAATACATGTTTTCTCTTCAGGATGGCGTCCAGTCACTTCATCATTCAATAAGCATGCAGCTGACAAGTCTCTCTTGCCCAACAAGATCAGAACAATAGGCTGAGTAATGTTTTGGTAGGAATCATCCAGGAAACAATTTCCTGGCTTATCAATAGCACAGGATTTCCTTCAGAAAATGCAGATTCTGATTTGAAGTGGGGCCTGAGATTTTGCATTGCTAGCTCCATGGTAGGTGTTGTTGCTGGTCCTTGGACTGTATTTTCAGTGGCAAGGGGCTGAATTCCTGAGCCCATAACTAGGTTGGAGAAAAGAAATCAAGATTCCTGCCTCCACCATCTAATGGGCCTTGGTATTAAGTCAGAATGCTGGTACCTGGAGGTCCCTGTATGAGGCCCATCTCCCACCTCTGCATCGTTTTGTTATTTAGTGCACAGGATGAAACTGTTTCCTGGGCTCTGTCCTTGAGCACAGTCTGTGTCTGTATCCTGCCTGCTGCTTTCCTCCAGATCCCATCAAAGACTCATCTCTGGATACTCTCCCTTCCCAAAAGGCTGGATCTTGCTGCCCATACCCTTAGCATGAAGTAAGAACTTGTATATTTCTACCAAGTCTGCCTCTGTGCCATGCCATCAAGACTTCTGTGACAGTAGGCCTGCAACTTCCTCACATCACTAATGACCATGTTCCTAAGCATTTGCCACAAGCTACTTTGTACACCTCATATGCAGTTGCTCTTGACTACCGGGACTTCATGCCTCATTAGCTGCTCGTCTGGTTATAGCTTCCATCAGGCTTTTTTGGTAGCTATAATTGACTCCTCTCCTGGCTGGTGATTTGCATTCTTTCTCTAGCTATGCAGCCCCAAGCGAACTTCCTCCCAGTATGGTCCAACCACCAGGATGCTTTGCTTCTCTGCATTCTTCTGAGGTTCTGCTAAACTTGTCCTGACCCCATGAAAATAGAGCCTGCCATGGATGGAGTCCTGTTGTGATTGTACTGTTTTCCTCAAACTGTGTAGAGGATATGATTTGAATCCTCTCCTATGGCATAGGATTGCTTCATTGTTATGTCAGCCTGACATAATGGACCTTCTCTTTCTCTCCATCCTTAGTTTTAACGCCTATATTAACAACACCTGAACCTGACACACCAGTTGGTGTCTTGACTTCCTTTTGATGCCCTCAGAGCTTCAGTGTCTATCTCCACCCTGTCTGATCCTGGATTCTTCCTTCTACCCACCTGTCCTGATTATAAGGGCTTGGCATCCTCTTGCCTGGGTCCACCTTCATTATGGCAGAGGAAAAGCATCACTGAGAAATAAGCACTTTGTAACACCAATGGAAAAATTTAAGTTGGGTCAGAAGCTTGCCAATTGCAATAGGTATTCATCTAAAGGCTATAATCATCCTGCAAAATATGTTTTATTAACCTTTGAAATAGCTACCGCCAAGGCCATTTTTGTCATACCACCCACTTGAAAAATTCATCCTCTAGGTCACTGGACACATTGATTTTCATGGGGGCTTAGATATAAAATCCTTGATTTTTTGATCTGAAGAGGATGAAAAGTATCATTTAGCTTTAGCCCAAAGCCTTCATTTTCCAGATGGGAAAACTAAGACCCAGAGTAATGCTAGTAATTATAATAACGCATAACGTTTATCCTCAGCATATTATGTACCAGGTAGTGTTTGTCCTAAGCCTTTTGAACATATTCCTTCATTTTAATCCCTATGACCTATGAAGTGGATATCATTATTATCCTGGTTTTGCACCATGGAAACGGGTAGGTACAAGAAGGATCAAGTGATTTTTCCAAAGTCACATAGCTGATTAGTGGTGGAACCAGGACTTAGACCTGTATCGTGAGACCACAAACTCAATATGCTCCTCTCATTTGTTAAAATGTACTTACCCCCCTGTAGTCTGGATTTCTCTTTCTGCTTGTGAATTCCATACAGGGACAGGAGGGACAATTCTGACAATTCTTTCAGCTTAGTCATGGTGTCCGCTGTGGCCCAGGAGGGTAATGTGAAATTGTGAACACTCTGCAGCAAAGAGAAAGGGAGGAAATGTGAATTTTCATTTCTGAGTGCCCTCTTTGTTCTTCTACCCCATTGAGCTACTGGGTTCAGCCTTTCGTGTCCTGTGCTTTCCTCTAGGAAAACTTCACTTTGTGATAAATAGTAGCATTGATTTTCAGAAGGAAAAGTCAAAGAAACTAATCTGCCCCCTCCTACAAGTCTGTAGTTTTGGACTTAACTCTGGGTCAAAGGATAATTTGTATTTTTCAGAGTAAGGTTGTGGTACGGCAGGAATATACCTTATTCTCTTATGAGAGGTTTAGAAATATTTTTATTAACCTAGGGGTAAGAACAACCCAACAGGGTTAGATGATATATCCTTAAAAGCTGGATGAGCAGCCTAAAAGGAGGGATGAGAAGGTAAGATATTTCTAGAGCCTTTGATAATATACTCCCACTCCCATCAGCTTCCAGTTCTCTGCCTCTTGAGGAATGCCTGCACCTTGCACACCGTGGACATTTGGTAAATCGATGACTGAATTATACAGCAGGGTAGGCAGAGATGCTGTGCCAATATTTATTACCTGGCATGAAAGTTAATTAAGCTTGCCTGAGTTTCAAAGGGAGAGAGAGAGAGAGAGAGAGAGAGAGAGAGAGAGAGAGAGAGAGAGAGAGAGAGAGAAAAGACCAAAGAAAAGTGAGAAGTGAAGAAACAAGAGAGAAAGAGGTGAAAAAGAACTACACAACATGACCACATTATGGAATAGCTCTGATCAAACTGTAGTAAAGAAGAAAGAAAAAAAAATCAAGACTAGAACCAAAATGTGGGCTCTTGTCTCAATTGAAGAGTGTTGTTTCTAAATAGCCTGACATAGCTTCATTGAAACAGGTGCTGATGAAAAAGTAATATTGGAAATGTAGTGTGAGCTTGGGAGGGGGGCAAACGGTGTCATGTGTTATTGCGATGGAACTGTGAAGGTGATTGCTGCCCCGCAGACACTCACCAAGACCACAGAATCAGGAGTGGATACGTGTTGTGTGTGTGTGTGTGTGGGGGGGGGGAGGGTGAAGGAGGGAGGGCCGGAGCAGGGAGAAGGAAGGAAGGGGAGAAGGGGGTCAGACTTTTGCCCCAGGATTCTGTGAACTGGTTGGGAAACCAGGAATGTAGATTATTCCTTTTGGCCAGCAGGTGGAGCACGTGAGTGCAAAACACCACATGTCCTTGAACAACTCAGTAGTTAATTTGCTTCAAAGGCTATTTTGTATGCATTACATGGCAAGGAAGAGATCCTTTCCTGATAAACCATTTTCAATAGTGGCTTAAAGTTGGTTTGTTTGTTTTATATCCAGAAATCAGATTAATTTTTTTCTCTTACTGTACAATAACATTGTGTTTTCATTAACATCTATGACAGGAGCCCAGCATTCCTAAGTGATTGAAAAATAAGTGACAAAGCACAGAAGAAAAGCAATTTTGTTTGCAATTTTCTAAAGGATGGGAAACATAACTAATGGTGAGAAGAAGTCAGGATGTTCAAGTTAATATAAAGAAGGCCTGAATTATGTTTCAATATCAAAGAAAGTATAAGTAATACATCTGCAAAAAAAGGCAAAATAAAATGTATTCATCTATTTCAAAGTAGGCATAAATCAAAATCAGATTTCACGTTCATTTTTAATATATTTTTTCTTTTACCTCACAAAATAAAGGGTCGTAGACTTTACTCCAAATACTGAAAAGGTCCTTGCCATGGTATCCTGAAAGTTTGGGCAGCGTTTCTATAAAATCCTGAAACATATGGAGAGGTAAAGATATTTTTATGCCAGGTTTCACATCAGCATTATTGTTATTTTGGGCTGGATAACTTCCTGTTGTGGGAAGCTGCCCTATATATTATAGGATATTTAGTAGTATCCCTGGCCTAGATTACCCCCACTGAGAACTGTTATTCATTACAGAAAAGTGTGCTAGTATTACTGGCTATAATGCCAACCCAGCCAGAGTGGCTCAATGGTTGAGCATCGACCCAACAACCAAGAGGTTACTGGTTCAATTACCAGCCAGGGCACATGCCCTGGTTATGGTCTTGATCCCCAGTCGGGGTGTGCAGAAGGCAGCTGATCAATGTTTCTATCTTTTTATCTCACTCCTTTTTTTTCTCTCTAAAAAATAAATTAAAACATACCCATTTTTTTTTTACAGATACTAATTGATCATTTCTTTGCATTCAAAATGTGAGCAAAGGCTGGCTTACCGCCACATGCTCCTTGTTTGTCCTAGAAGCAGACTGAAGTGTACTGCCTCAAAATTCTTTGTGGAAGTAGGTTACATATAACTCACATATAAGTCAGTGGCCAAGGCGGGAAGGGAAAGCATGTCCCAGGTCAAAGGACCCCAGGACAACACAGCAGAAACAGGACTGGTGAATGGCTATAGGTGTGAAATGTGGATGAGATGCGAACATTCTCTATATGATTCTTAGGTTGCCACGTTCATGAGACCCCCCCATTCAGCCGTCTGCCTGATGAAACTGGCAGCAATTTCTGACAAGCATTTTGGAAGACAATTTACCTTTTCCATAGTCTTGAAAGGGACATTTCACAAAGTGGAAACATTAAAACACACACACACACAAACAAAAAAAAACAAACGAACAAAAAACACACCTATCCTTTGTATACAGTAGGCCCAGCCCTTCAGCCTCACAATAATGCAGATCATCTCAGATTTGCATTTATTCTGAGCCAGCCACACACTTTCACCTGGTTCTGCTCAGGGACATGGGTATAAGCTTCTTTCTGCCTGTGGTCCCAGCACAAGGATGGGGAAGAGGAAATGATGACTGACCTTCATTAAGGAGTCTCACCGATTGCCTAGACCAGCCACCGCAGGCCAGTTCCACCCACACTTTCAAGAATCTGCAGCCCTGCCCTTTGACTTGGCCCTCATACTTATGCACACACCATTGTGAAATGACACAATTTTTAACCTTGTAAGGCTGCAGCCTCTTCTGGAATTCCTCTGATTTCAAAGTCTCACTCTCTAGTTCTTGAAAACGAGGGCAGTTCTTGAAAGGCAGAAATAGCAACTGAAGACAAAAGAAAAATAATAAAACCTTTGTTAGTCAGAAGTACTTTGCTAAGGAAGCTGGAGCCATATTTTAAACATTAGATGCAAAGAAACATTCATAAGAGTATTAAATGTGTTTTGAGCTGAGTGGAAATCCTAAAATTGAGGGGAAAGAGGTAAGTGATCTGCTGGTCTTAAAAGTAGAATAGGTACCTAGAACTGAAAATCATTTTTTCCCCCTTTCATGAACTTGCCTAAGAGAATTGTGCTATTGGTAAAAATTCATATTTTCTGGCTTTTCAATGTGAGATAATAACCCATCTCTTGCTTCCCTTCCCACCCCTTTTATTCTCTAGGTGTTCATGAATATAGAGAAATGAATTGCAGGTTCTGGAAAGAATCTTGAGATATCAATTAACCCATTTGTTGGCTTAATTCTTGCAAATTTGCAGACTGTTAAAATAAGGGTACATATTAAATCCATAGAAAAATATACTTAAAGACCTATTATGAAGACAAAGTGATCATGCAAAAGTAAGTTTAAATCCAACAAGCTTTTGTAAATCATACTCCATAGGCTGGTGACTCCGAGTTGATTTTGCTGCTCTTGTTTCCCCCCTGTGGCTAGCCCTGAATTTCTAGCTCTTGGTAGATATCACTGCTTGGATGGTACTCTTCTCCCCCAAATGTAACATGTACAAAGCTGAGCTCAACTTCTTCATTTTTAACCAGTTCCTCTTCACCATCTCTCTATTGCTCGCTGATTTCAAAATATTTCCAGAATAGACCCCTTTTCCTGGTCTTCCTTGTCCCTTTCCCATTCAAGCTACCCAAACCTGTGTTTCAACCACTGAGTTTCCTGTTGGATAGGACAGTGTCCACCCTTCCTACCTTCATATGCTATCTCTGTAAACAGCCTCACAAATCCTTTTTGTTGATTTGTGTAAACACGAAGCCTTTTAAAGCATCAGTCAGATCATGCCATCCTGTGCTTTATAACCCTCCCTGGCTTTCCATCTTACTTGGAACAAAACCTAAACTCACGGTTGGCCCCTAGTGACTGCTCTGCCCTGCTTCCCACTGCTGTCCTCCCTCACTCATCTCCAGCAACACTGTGGGCCTTGGATGTCCCTTGGACACACAGGCTTGAGGTCTCTGCGAACTGTTCCCTGCTTGAGACACTCCCCCATGGACTCCCACCCTGGATTTTCTAACCATCCTGCCCAGCCTCCACATTGCCTTGTTTTATTTCCCTTAAGAAGCTCATTACCATCTGAAAATACTTTTTTCCTTCCTTCCTTTCTCCTTTCTTCCCTTCCTCCCTTCCTCCCACCCTTCCTCCCACCCTTCCTCCCACCCTTCCTCCCACCCTTCCTTCCTTCCTTCCTTCCTTCCTTCCTTCCTTCCTTCCTTCCTTCCTTCCTTCCTTCCTTCCTTCCTTCCTTCCTTTCTTTCTCTCTTTCTCTCTTTCTCTCTTTCTCTCTTTCTCTCTTTCTCTCTTTCTCTCTTTCTTTCTTTCTTTCTTTCTTTCTTTCTTTCTTTCTTTCTTTCTTTCTTTCTTTCTTTCTTTCTTTCTTTCTTTCTTTCTTTCTTTCTTTCTTTCTTTCCTTCTTTCTTCCTTCCTTTCTTTCTTTCTTTCTTTCTTTCTTTCTTTCTTTCTTTCTTTCTTTCTTTCTTTCTTTCTTTCTTTCTTTCTTTCTTTCTTTCTTTCTTTCTTTCTTTCTTTCTTTCTTTCTTTCCTATAAAATATAAACTCAAGGACAACCAGATCTTGACTATTCTGTTCACTCATGTATCCTCAATGCCTGGAACAGGACCTGGCATATGAATAGCCACCGAGAAAACACTTTTTTATATAAGTTGTTTCCTGTCATTTCTGAGTTTGTGTGTCACTTGTCTTACCTGTCTTTCCTTCCCTAACATCTTTGCCATCTAATTTCAAGCCCTCATTTCCTTATTTTTGAATTGTTTCAATCACGTCAGAGGCTCAAGTATCTTTTCCTTCTAAGTCACTGTCAGACAAATGCCTCAAAACACTAGTCATCATCCATGTATGTTATTGAAGAAGGTATACTTAAAAAGTTTTCAATTACAGTTGACATTTTGAAAAAAGTATACTTTTATACTTACTGCTTTAAGTCAAATTTCATTGCATGATTTTCAAATTTTTCCATAGTTAGAAATGACATTATTGAGGAAAAAAGCACAAGGCTGTTCCTTTAAAGGTCTAGGTTTTAATGAATTATTTCACCTTTCTGGACTTGTTTCCTCTATCCACATATTGAAAAAAAATCAGGCTGAAAATATATAGAACTAGAGACCCAGTGCATGCAATCTGTGCACTGGTAGGGTCCCTAACTGCTGCTGGCTGCTGCCTAGGGCCTTCCTCCCTCTACCCAGCCAGCTCTTCCCCCTGGTTGAACTCCCAGAAAAACTCCCAGGCGAGGGGACAATTTGCATACTACGCTTTTATTATATAGAATAATACCTAAACATCTGCCAAACATTTTGCAGTTTACAAAGTCCTTTCCATTTCTTAACCAACTTAGTTTTCTCAAGCCCCTAATAAGGAGTTGGGGGGCGACTGCTTACAGAAAAGGAAACTGAGGTGCTGGGAGGTTACTCAAGGTCAAGTGTCTGAAGTAGTTGGCTCTCAGACCTAGCTTTTCCCAACTTTAAATCCAGCCCTCCTTTTACAGGACACTGCTGTTCAGCCTCATGATTCCTTCTGGCTATTAAATTTGGATTATCTAATCTGTACCCAAGTCAGCTTCATTCTTTCTAAATAACAACTCAGTACACAGAAGGGCATGTTTATTCACTCACTGCCTTCCGGCTGACTTCTTCTCTTTCCTACCCCGCCTCCAAGGTCTGGTTCAAGTTCTCATTCTCTCCACAAAGACCCAAATGACTGACTGACTGTCCTTTGGTAGCTCTATGTACATCTCATTCTCTGACTTCACCCAGATGTACAGCTTGTATTTGAAATCACTGCTCATCATCTTGCATTGGATTCTACACATTTCACACATGTGAATCTTTTCCATCAAATGGATTCATAAATTAACGAAGAATCCTGGCATATTTCTCTATAGCACTTAGCACAGCTCTGGGGATAACTTTGTATTGCTTGATTTTATTAGATTTTCTAGTTAATGTTAGAGGACTGTTTTATCTGAGAGAGCAGGGAGCTGAAAGCCATAGATAGGTAGTCTTGTTTCTCTCTTCCTCTCCCTCACTCTCCTTGTTTTTCTCTATACTATTCTCTTTGTTATTTAATTTAATTACTACCTTTTGAGATTAAGGATTTAACAGCTACTTTGGTCTACCTTGGCTAAATTTAGTGTTGCCATCCACTCTTTAAGCAGAAAAGGCTATGTTGAAAGTGAATTTTTTTTTTTGAAGAAAATATCCACAAACTCCTAAAAATACTGATAGTCATAATACTTCACTCCTGATTATGTGATGGAAAGAGGCATAAATAAATAATCCTGACTTTTCAGAAAACACTAGAAAAATTGTTTGGAATAGATTGAGTGAGGTTGACAGGGTTGGGAAAAATTCTTATGTCACCAGATGCAGCAATTGAATCACATTTCCAGGAGCACTGGCAGGACAGAGAATAGCAACTCACCCCCGAGATGTGTGGACTACAGTCTGTAGTCACGATGAGCCTCAGAGAGAGATGAGATGGTCATGCTTTTACTGTGACTGCAGAGGAATGAGAAGGGTTCCTTGTCCTAAACTATTTCCTTCATATAGTCTTAGATTCTATACCTGGGAGATGAGTTAGATTTATTACTATTAAAAATAGCAATTCCTCTGAAAAGGTTAAAGAGTTCTTGATCAGTCCTACCCAGTGTAAATAAACTTGAGAGTTTCTCTCAAAGCACCTTGCCTTACAGTACTGGTTCTCAGTCTTGGCTGTCTCTGGAGTCATCAAGAGAGATTATTTTAAAAACACTGCTGTCTGGCTCTGCTGGTGTGGCTCAGTAGATTGGAGTGCCATCCCATACACCAGAAAGGTTGTGGGTTCGATCCTTGGTCAGGCACATATGGGAGGCAACCTGTCAATGTTTCTCTGTCACATTGATGTTTCTCTCTTGATCTCTCCCACTCTCTCTAATATCAATAAAAACATCCTCAGATGTGACTTTAAAAAATACTGATGCAGGGTGTCCAACCTCAGAGATGCTGATTTGTCATGAAGAATCCCCTGGGCATTAGGAGTTTTAAGAAATTGTCAGATGATTCTAATATGTAGCTAAGTTTGAGAAGCACTGGTTTTCAGAGAAGAAAATTGTTCTCGAATTACCTGGTTCCAGCAGTGATGCCTACCAGTTGTGTGGCTTTGGGTCCATTTTGTTTAACTTCTCTAAGCACTTATTTCCCTGGCTATCAAAGGAGAACAATAATATTGTCCATTCAAAATAAATATAAGGACACATAAAAAGTGTTCAGTACCAATCATATATTCAATTCAATTCTTCATTTCCCTACCTAGAAATGGGGATTTTTCTTGGAAGGAAAGGTACTTTGTAGGTAAAGAGGTCTTAGGATATTCTGTGATGGAGGAGAACCTGTGTGGGCCACCAAAGAATTGAACACTGGGAGCCATGTGTATGTGTGTATGTATGTATGTATGTATGTATGTACTTATGAGAGTGTATGTGTGTATGTGTGTATGTGTGTGCGCACGCATGTGTGTGTGTGTGTGTGTGTGTGTGTGTGTGTGTGTGTGTGTGTAGATAGATGGGGACAAATTCCCAAAAGTTGAAAGAGTGGCAAAACAAAATAGATGATAAAGATCCAAAGAGAAATTCTGTTCCTACTCTCTCTTGCCTTGGGCTTTCTATATCCTACTTTGTTCTTTTCACCTTTATTTAGGAAAGAATTAAGGCTGCACAGCCCAAGAAGAGTCCAGACTACCAAATCCACAAGTACTGAGCAACCTGATGCCTGGCTTCTAGGCCCAATAGAATATCCTGGTTTTCTCAGAATACTGACCCGATCTTCCATAAGAGGGACTGTGTGCACTGGGATGGGCTGCCAAGGCAGGTTGGGATTCCAGAGGCTAATACCATCCGGGGGAAACAGGGCTGCAAGGTTCGTCATGGCACTCATCAATGTCCGGTCAATGTCTGTGCTGCGAACATAAACCTGGAAAATCAAAGCAGAATCCAACTGAGAGGAACCCTGGGTTTTTTCTATGCAGCTAGTACCTGAGAAAGGACAGGATATCCACACCAAAATATTAGCAAGCATTGTAATAGCATCATGATCATAAGATCTGTTATGGAAGGGACAGTATTATGAGCATGGCACGCTATAAAGCAACCTGCTATGCCAATAATTGAATTGACAAAAGAGACCAATTAAGTAGAGGCTACATATCACTACTTGTCAAGCTAAAGTCTTTACCATTGGTGTCCCTAACATTTTAGCTCACTCATATTTATAATGTTTTAGGAAAAAAATATTTGTAGAAAGAGGAATACATTTCTAAGCAAGATATCTGCTGGGAAATAGGCAAAGCACGCTGAGAAATGCAAGGTTATATTAAATTCTTGCAGAGGGACAAGGTTCCCACTTTTAGCTCCCCAACTTGCCTGTTGATGTTTATAGGATTCATTTAAGAACTTTCCATATCTTTTCCTTATATATTCTCCAAGTTCATAATGTTGCTCCATGCCCATCTAGGGAGAAAATAAAAGCACGAATTATTGAAAGTAAGTTCTGTGACTCTTATCTATGCATCTCATCTCTCCTCATTAAATGAATGAACAATGGTGTACTGTAATAGTTCCACAATAACACATTTTTAAATGAAAACAAGAAAAAAAAGCTGTATTTTTCAGTCATGACTCCCTGAGAAAACTCTTTACCTTCATTACCAATTAACATAGAGCCTCGTACAGTTAATAATTGGTGATGAATCTGATTTACATAAATGATTCATCCCTGGTGTGGTAGGGCATTCAATGGTCATCTTTGTGGGCAGAACATTCAAAGGGCTGGTTGACCACTTTGGGGGTTGGTAGAAGAAATTCAACCATTAACAGGTTGGATTTGATGAATCTGAAGCTCACATTCAACCTCTGGGTGCAATGTTTTATTATTTGTACAGTTTACTTATGCATAGTACAGGAAAAAACTAGAGCCTGTTACTCATAGTATGGTCTGTGGATCATCAGAATTAGCATAATTTCAGAGTATGTTAGAAATCAAATTCCTCCCGCCCCCTAGTGTGAGGATGAGCTCAGGAATCAGTTTTCCACAAGCTCACTAAGACTGTGATGGCCAGTAATCATTGATAAGCATTATTTTAGCTAAATGATCCCTATGCCTATCTGTGCGTCAGAAGCAGAATGTATCTAGGGGTGCTTGTTGAAATGTAGATTTCTCAGCATTTCCCCCCAAGATTCCTGCTCATTAAATCCTGGTGTAGCCCTGGAATCTGCATTTTAACAAGTGCCCCCGAGTGATTCAGATCCATGTATTAGAGCACCATGCTTTGAGAAATACTGCGTTCAGGTCTGTCTTTATCCAGATCTTCACCAGAGCTTCAGGAGTCAAAGAGGACGTGGTCCCTGTGGCTTCTGCTTGGCCCCATATGCTCATTTGCTTGCCACTCCTGGCCACCACTATCATCACCACCCCTCTAACATGGGGAAGGAGGTAACAGGAGCAATGTATGCTTTGAGGTTGAGTGTTGGGTGTTGACCTATGAACCAGGAGGTCATGGTTTGATTCCCAGTCAGGGCACATGCCTGGGTTGCATGCTTGATCTCCAGTAGGGGGTGTGCAGGAGGCAGCTGATCAATGATTCTCTCTCATCATTGATGTTTCTATCTCTCTCTCTCTTCCTTCCTCTCTGAAATCAATAAAAATATGTTTTGAAAAATCGAAACAGGATATTTAATACACTTTTGGTACAGTTATTAGTCACTAAGACTGACTTGGACATGACCAGAAATTAAGGCTAACCATCAGTTCCTCTTTGTTCCACAATTGAAACACATTTTAAACCTTTTAGAACCCAGATAATTGTGCAAAATATCTTCCTAGATCTGAGTAACCAAAGTGGTTTTATGGTTTCAATGGCTTACAAACCCCACAATGTTTAGTTTCCCCTGAGACTTACCACCAACGTTAGCTAAAAATCCAACCAACCTGAGTGAGTTGGCCAAATCCTTGTGGCCATGAGGTTTCTTTAATGGGGTCATTAGGAAAGGTATCAATGGGACTTCGGTCTCCATGCCTAAAAACCTGAAAATAGATTAAGACAGAAATGTTACAAATGTCATTTTGGTATTTTGCCTCTACCCATCATAATAGATGTTTTTCTAACCCACTGGTTCTCAATCGTGGCTGCTCATAAAAATCACCGGGGAGTTAAACATATTCTGAAGATGGAGTCACCCCTAGTAATTTTGTTTTATGAATTTGGGATACGGCCAGGGCATCAGGATTTTAAAAACCTTCCCAGGTAAATCGTAGTTTAAGAACCACTGTTCTAAGATTGCTAACACTTCTCCTGTGTTTCAGGTAAAGCAAGTAACAAATGATTAGCCATTTGGAGGCAGACCACCCGCACATGGAGATTGGTTTGCACATCGGCTAGGACAAGAAGGAACACAAAGCTCAGTAAGATCACTTTATTGCAGATGAACTCTGATGAGAAGTAGTCCTCCCTTAATTGCGGTTACAGTAATGATGGTGTCAACATTTTTTTTTTTTTTTTTTTGCCTATAATAAAAAGTTACATAGAAATTGCAATTATTTTGCACTGATGATTCTTCAGTTTTTAGGAGGTTGGAGGTAAAGGAATTGCATTGGGGAGATAAGAAGAGCAAATTTTCTATACTTTAAGGACATACTTTGGATGTGTATACATATCATACTATTTTTTTAAAAATGTTTTTAATTGATTGCAGAGAGAGGAAGGGAGGAGAGAGGGATAGAAACATCAATGATGAGAATCATTGATCCATTGCCTCCTGTACACCCTGCAACTCAGAGACATGTGCCCTGACCAGAAATCGAACTGTGACCTTTTGGTTCATGGGTTGATGTTCAACTACTGAGCCACACTGGTTGGTATGTCATGCTATTTTGATTGCCCATTTTACTCTTTGGGGGGTGTAGCCTGAACTTTTGAAACCTTGATTACAATATGTTTTCTGAGCAGTATACCTAGCCAACCACAAAGTTATTTTGTAAGCAAAAAAATAGAGAAAGAAAAAACACTCAAGAAGTACAAGATGGCCCTAACCGGTTTGGCTCAGTGGATAAAGCATCAGCCTGCGGACTCAAGGGTCCCAGGTTCGATTCCGGTCAAGGGCATGTACCTTGGTTGTGGGCACATACCCAGTGGGGGTGTGCAGGAGGGAGCTAATAGATGTTTCTCTCTCATCGATGTTTCTAACTCTCTGCCCCTCTCCTTTCCTCTCTGTAAAAAATCAATAAAATATATTTTTAAATATATTTTTAGATGGCTCCAGACTGTTTGGCTCAGTAGATAAAGTGTCAGCCCTTGAGCTGAAAGGTCCTGGGTTCAATTCCAACCAAGGGCACATACCTCAGTTGCAGGCTTCATTCCTGGCCCTGATTAGGGCTCATGCAGAAGGCAACCAATTGATGTGTCTCTCTCTATCTCTCCCCCTCTACTCTCTCTAAAAATCAGTGGGAAAATATCCTCAGGTGAGGATTAACCAAAAAGAAAAAGTACAAGATGAAGTCTACATTGATGCCAGCACACACATTTAATTGCACTTTTCACTTATCCTACTTGGCTAAGATGCTCCATTGAAAAGAAAGCTGGGAGACTGTTCTTTTGAAATCCTGTAAAAGAGCTCAGTAGACACTGAATAAGAAAGAGTATCAAAGCTTTAGCCATCTATGAGGTAGTGAGGGAGGATTCTAAGACTGGTCATGTATGGAGAAAACTGATCTTTTGGTCCCTAAACCAGCAATTTTCAACAGGTGTGCTCAAGAAATGTTAAAACATGCAATAGCTGGCTATTTTGTCAGGGACACTGACCTCTTTTTCTTTAGATAGTCAAATAAAAAAAATGACAACAGCCGACACAACAATAGCTGTTTGGTGTGAATGAATCAAAAGTAAAACTTTTTTCAAAAATCAGATTGGCATGTGCCGAAGAATTTTAGTAATTAGTTTATGTGTGCCATGAGATGAGAAACGTTGAAAATCGCTTCCCTAAACTAAAATCTCATTAGCATAGGCTACAGCAAATAGAGGGCTACTGGCGCAGTGGGTCTTAAGAAACCATCTGGGCCAGGTAAGGAATTACTGTCATAAACGGTGCCCTGATGGCAGGAAGGAGGGCCACATAGTCTCTGATGAGCACCTACAGTTATTTGTCACCAAGAGTGACTTGGTCATGACCAGAGATTATTGAGGCTAAGTGTTAGTGCTTCTCTTTACACAATAGAAGCACACTTTAGACATTTAGATACCGAAATAGTACATGCAAAATACTTTCCCAGATCTGAGTAACTAAAGTTGTTACATGAGTCAATAGATTATAAACTCCACATTGTGTAATTTCCCCAGTTTCTCAACTTCATTACTGTTGACATTTGGGCTGGATAATTCCTTGTGAGGAGCTGTCCTATGCCTTATAGCTATGACAAGCAAATTGTGGCTCGTGAGCCACAAGCAGCTCTTTGGCACCTTGAGTATGGCTCTTCCACAAAATACCACGACCTAGACAAGTCTATTTTGAAGAAGTGACGTTAGAAGAAGTTTAAGTTTAAAAAATTTGGCTCTCAAAAGAAATTTCAATCGTTGTACTATTGATATTTGGCTCTGTTGACTAATGAGTTTGCCAACCATTGCCATATAGGATGTTCAGCAGCATCCTTAGCCTTTGCCCACTAGATGACAGTAGCATTCCCCACTTGTGAGAACCAAAAAGACTGGGAATCACACCGTGATGTGACTCCTGGTTCATAGTTCCACGCTCAACCACTGAGCCACTACGGCCAGGCAGACCTCAAGTGCTAAAGAAGAAGAAGAAGAAGAAGAAGAAGAAGAAGAAGAAGAAGAAGAAGAAGAAGAAGAAGAAGAAGAAGAAGAAGAAGAAGAAGATCCATCAGAATGTGTTACTTGGTTGCTTAGAATCCACTCATTCTGTTATTGGGCAGAAAATCATAAAGATATACAAAAGTAGAGATTTTTATAGTGAGCCCCTGCCTACTCTAAGACATTAAATCATTTCAGACGTTATATCATTTCCTATTTCTCTTTGCATAAAATTATAATTTCCTTGTCTGGCTCACGAGATTCTACCTGATCTGGTCCTGCCCACCATAATGTTCTCATCTTACATTTTTGCTAAACATGGTTAGTCACCAAGCCCTCCTGCTGGCCCATCCATCCGATATAATAAATTTGTTCCAGCCTCAGAGTGTTGATGTTCTATCTGCCTCAAATGTCCTGTTTCTACTTCTTCCCCTGGGGCATGCATGCATACACACACACACACACACACACACACACACACACACACACTCGCTGAATTCACATCTATCCTGGGAAAGGCAACCTCTGTGGAGAGGCCTCCCTTGACCACAGGTTACAAAGAAATCCCTGCTCCATCTTTCTCATCCCCCGGCTCTATTTTTTTTTTATCCCTATTTGCTTGTGTTTTGTGTGTATGTGTATCTGGCATCTCTTCTCTCCTAAATTCCTTGAGAGTAGAATCCTTGCTGTCATGGGCACTGCTATATCCCCAAACAGTGCTGGCACATAGGAAGCACATGCTCCCCTACAGTGAGATGCCTTTGAAGGACATGCAGGCCGGGGGACCACAGCGCCTAAGAGAACCCCTGGAGGGTTTTTTGTGAGTGGAGGCCGGAGCCCTGGCTTTTGTTTGCCAGCAGAGAGTTCTCTCTGGTCCCTCTTTTATATGCCAATCAATTTGTAGGCGTGGCTCTGGACAGTTACAGCTGGAGTCCCCAGCACCTGGTACGCCACAAAGAAGTTCCAGTTCGTCTTTAATAGTTGCTATTAAAACATTACACACCTTGCTGGGTCATTTGGGGGACTCAAAATGCAAACGTAAGAGCCTGGCATCTAGGATAGTGGTCAGCAAACTCATTAGTCCACAGAACCAAATATCAACAGTACAATGATTGAAATTTCTTTTGAGAGCCAAATTTTTAAAACTTAAACTTATATAGGTAGGTACATTGTTATTAACTTAATTAGGGTATTCCTAAGCTGGCCTTTGCTAAAAACTCAGGGGCCAAAGAGCTGCAGGTGGCTTTAATAGTTCCACAATAACACATTTTTAAATGAAAACAAGAAATTCTGCCTTTGCAATTTTTTTTTTTTTTTTAAAGAAGCTCATCCTTTATTTTCCAACTCAGGTTTTACTGTGCTTTTCCTGAATTATGATAGCATCCTCTCTCTGTTCTTCCTCCAGCTTTTCCCCTCTTCAAACTATACTGCAGATGTGCCACCCCCAAGAGAAAATGAATTAGAATTCATAGTGGGTAAGATTTGAGTACAAAGAGGTGAAATAGTTATTCTAAGGTTCTAGTTAGTCTAACGTTATAGTGTAGATAATGACCTAGTACCTTATGTTCTCTTTTCTTTGCTCCTTTTCAGTTACACATGTGCCTAACTATGAAGTTTACTTATTACTTTATAAACTAGAAAATACAATTTGTATTCTATTAAATTTATAAGCTCAAAAATAATAAAGGATTATTTAGAACCTTGAGGACATCATGCTAAGTAAGGTAAGTAATTCACAAAAGGACAAATACTGCATGATTTCACTTATATGAAATATATAGAGTAGTCAAATTCATAGTGAGAAGGTAGGATGGTGATTGTAAGGGGCTGAGGGGAGGGGAAAATAGGAGTTTCTGTATAAAAGGTATGGAGTTTCTGTTTTCAAGATGAAAAGAGTTGGGACATATGTAATACTTTCAACAATATTTTTTTAAAACAAAAAAATGAAAGAATTAATGCCACAGAAACAAACAAACAAATAAAAAACTGAGGTAAGAAGTAATCTATTCAATGAAAAAAATATATAACATTTATCCAAGCTTTATAATTCAGAGCAAATTGATATATTATTGATATGTCCCTCCAAATTTTATAGCAAGACAACTGTGTATCAAGAGAGGTATTATTTATTTGTAATTGTCTAAAAACACATTATCTTAGACAAGTGCTTTCACTGGAAGAATATTTGTGATAATTAAATCAATTGCTTTTGTGTTTAAAAAAGAAAGATGAAAAGAATTTTGGAGTTGGATAGTTCTGGAGTAGTACCGCAACATGAATACACATAATGCCACCTAAGTGGTTCTGGAACTTGAATCAATGAAAGTTTAACGTTTTCTTAGGTATGGATTTCCACTTTTATTTTAGCTCACAGTGCTAGAAAATTTAGAACAGTATGGGGCTGTCTGGCTGAGGAGTAACATGCCAATGTTTCCTTTCCCGGAGGAGTGAGGAAGAAACCTGAAGGTCTGACATCCGTGGAAAAGTGTGACGGCCAGTCTCATTTGAATTTGCCCAACCACAGTGTGCAAGTTACTCATCCCAGTGTAGAGATCATGTGCTTAACATTTGGGAACTGTTTTCTTCCAGAATATTCTATGGCCTGAGTAAGAATTTTGCAAGGTTAATTATAAAGAATAAGAGCTTATACTGTGGGACTCATCATCCTTTTGTTGTTGTTAATCCTCACAAAAGGATATTTTTCCATTGATTTTTAGAGAGAGTGGTAGGGAGTGGAAAGAAGGAGACAGCAGGCAGAAGAAAAGACAGACAGAGGCAGAGGCAGGCAGAGACATGAATATGACACATTGATTGGTTATCTCCCGCACTTGATCTGACTGGGGCCAGAAATTGAACTCTCAATCCTTTGATGTGCAGGCTGAGGTGATGCATTTCTTTCTTTGTAAAACCTGGGTGGAATGAGGAGTTTTTATCTGTCTGAGATCACCTGAACTTGTGGTTTCCCCTTGTTTGGGAAGAGAATGCTTTCAAACGGCATCTCCCTATTTATGGATGGAATAATGATATACAGGATTACAGTAGGAGTGTGTGAGCATACAGATGAAACAAGATTGCTCATGAGTGATAATTATTGAAGCTGCCTGATGGGTACATTGGGATCCACCATACTTATTCTCTCTCTATAAATTTAAAAATAGCAATTCTCTAAGGGTTTCCTACAGTATACTCTCTAGAAAAAGGGAGGTAGATTGTGTAGTCAAAATTTAGAAAATACAATTTACAAAATCCTTTCTTTGAATGTTACAGTATACATTAAAATGTTAAAGACTGGGAGTTCTGCATTTAAGAGACCTTTAAATACAGTTTAAACCTTGTTCAATCCCCAATGCTGATTTGACTATTGAAACCCACTTCACCAAGCAATGTCTATCAACAACTAGTCCAATTAGCATTCTGTGGGGCACACTTTGGTGAAGCTGTTTTAGAAGACCATGTGGTAACCCCGCTTATGAGACAGAACAAGGACCAAGGATAGTCTCCTGCTCTTCCTGCCAAGAACAGCTTTTCAGAGTTGTGGGAGATTTCTTTACTTTGGATCACAGAGGAGAAGTGAGAAAACCACCTGCGGGTGATGAGTTAAGTCAGCACACCAAACCTCCATGGACCGATCTCAGCTCCAGGTGCTGGGTTAACAGGAACATATTGTCCAGTGATTAAGGGCATGGCCTCTGGGATCATACAGCCTGGGTCCAAATCTTAGCTGTGTGTTCATGGGAAAGTTGCTTAACCTCTGTGTCTCAATCTTTTTCATCTATAAAATAGGGATCATAAAAATCCTTATGGTGTGGTTGCCAGATGTAGCAAATAAAAATACAGGATCCCAAATACCTCATGGAACATATTAACACTAAACAATTATTTGCTGTTTGTCTGACACTAAAATTTAACTGGGTATCCTGTGCTTTCCTGGAAGCACTACTTTATAGGGTGGTCAGGAGGATTATGTGAAATAATCCATTTTGAACTCTCAGAACAGTGCCTGGCACGTAATAAGCACTCAATTAGCTATGGCTTATTGCCATTCATCATATTATCTATTTAATCAGAGGCACCTTTCTTTTGTTCTGGTTCTCCTGATAATTTTCCAAGGATTTTCCTGGGTATATAATGGAACTATTTATAGAAAACATTTGCTAATTTTCCTGGGTATATAATGGAGCCATTTATAGTTGAATATCTATTATAATTCACAGAAAGAAGAAGGTACTATCTTCCCCAAACCGGTTTGGCTCAGTGGATAGAACTTCAGCCTGTGGACTGAAAGGTCCCAGGTTCTGTTCCCGTCAAGGGCATGTACGTTGGTTGCAGGCACATCCCCAGTAGGGGGCGTGCAAGAGGCAGCTGACTGATGATTCTCTCTCATCAATGTTTCTAACTCTCTGTCCCTCTCTCTTCCTCTCTGTAAAAAAAAACAACAAAAAAAACAACAACAATAAAATATATATTTTCTTTAAAAGAAGATACTATCTTCTGGTTTAAGTCCTTGGACAGAAGTTGTTTTGCAAGGGCCAAGAAAGGTGTATTAAGTTGCCTTTCATCTACCATTAGTGGGAGGAAGCTGTGGTAGAAGAAATTGTTAACATTGGCTTTGTGTGAGAATTGTTCATTGTTTTTGGCTCCCAGTGAACTACCTCCGTAAGGTTTTTCTTAGGGAAGAAGACTTAACTGGGACTTCCTAAACTTAGGTTCACTAAGAGTGGAGGGGAAGAAAGGAAACCAGGAGAATTTGGTAGTCAAGGGAAGTTAGCCTGGGCTGTAGTAAAACAAGGAGGAGACCCAACCACAGGCATTTCACTGAGGGTGGACTGTAATATCTCAGAGAAGGTAATTACTCGACTGGCTTGTCACAGGTTTACAGCATCGCAGAGCAACTTCTGCAGTTCCCACATTTGTTCAATGCACATGTTGGCAAAGGAACCCACGCACAGAACTAAAAGTCTAACTCCCATGGATTTCCCTATGCAACTGAAAGTTTAACTTCCCATGGTAGGCGCACAATATTACACAGCTTTTTCAGCACAGAAACCTGACAGCTGGTGAATCATCTGTAAATTAATTGATGGTATATTTCTCTGGTGTTCTCTCTCTCTCTCTCTCTCTCTCTCTCTCTCTCTCTCTCTCTCTCTCTCTCTCTCTCTCTCTCTCATTGACTCATGCCCTAGTAAAGATTTATTGGACTAAGAATCATGACTTGCATAAACACATGGTCATGACTCTTTCTTTTGTAGAAGGAAAAGAAGTTTTGACTACACTTAAGCTGACAAAATAGGAACTCCATGTTTAATTATAAAGAAAATTTTAAAAATAATGAACATTCTTACAGAGAGAAAATAATCTTTGTATTTATCAGCATACTTACATAATCAAATGAAAAATTTGAGAAAGAGAGGGAGAGGACCTGTGAAAGACAAGGAAAGGGTTGAAGGCAGAAACAGATCTAAGAGAAACAGAGAAACAGAGAAAATCAGACACAAACAGAAACCAACAGAAGGATTAATTCCAGAACTGGTATGTAAAGTGGTAAATCCCCTTTACTTTGCAAACTCTCTATTTTTAAAACAGTGCCAATAGTATATTTCTTTCCCCAACATCATGCCTGAGGCAGCCTCCCCCCACCTTCCCGCCTTTTCTCATCACTTGTCACACTTATGGGTGGAGAAAAACATGATTTCAGGGGTAAATCAAATCGCTGTATCAGGAAGTCATCCTAGAACGCCTGAGCTTAGTTTCATTTTTCCGTTTCAAACACTATTTATAAATTCCCTGGTAAACAGAAGGGTTTCTTTACTCAGAAATGACTGTTTTCTGGGTTTGCAAACAAATAATCATGAAACGTAATGAAGCTAGTTCAGCCCCTGGTACTAAACAGCGCCAGCTGTGGCTTCTTCTCCCTCCCCACTGGATTGGCTGTCAAAAGGAATCTGTATTCAAGGCAGTTGTGAAGAAAGTGGATAAATGAGGAACATGGGCATCCAAGGCAGAAATACCCAAACCAAACCCCTTTGCATTCTTACACGTTAAAACTTCACTCCAAGGAACTTGCGAAACCTGATTATTCACTTGCCCGGTTTGGTCTCCCCAAGACAACAAACAGGAGGGTAACCAGGAATTTGACACTCGATGTTCAGACCCTGCTGGTCACAGTTTTGGGAGAAAAGCAGTGAGAAAAGAGTACTCACCAGAGTCACAAACTTCAGCTCCTTAGCTCCCACACCTGGGTCCCGCCAGAAGCAAAGCAGGAGCAAGAAGCTAAGGCTGGCTGCCCTGGCCCCCAGGCTCCGGGCAACTGTCATGCTGGGGAGAGCTGCTGCTGGCAGGACTTAGGAGGTGCAACTTCCTCCCAAAAAAGCCATTAAAGGGGAAGCTATTTAATCAAGAATTAAAAGAGAAGGAGGAGCTGGGAGGAGCCAGACTCCTCACTTGTAAAACCTCCAGGTAGCTTGGGGCGGGGTTTGGCACAGTCAGCTTAATTTTGAGGGCTGGGTGTTGGAGATCACAATCTTCTGAACTGAAGTTGCAAGGAGACCCAGGGAGCGGAAAGCTGGGGCTCTAAGGTCACAGAGCAAATTCGCAGGCCTTTCTTTTTGAGTTGAGCTTTATCTTTCCTTTCCATGGAGTGTGATCCAGCCTTTGCTTTGTGGCTGTCACTTGGGGAAGGGATTTACCCTGACTTGGGAAGCTTAGGCCAGTCACGATTCATCTCTTGGGAATCCAGAATCATAAGGGGTGAACCATGGAAGAAACTGGCAGTGGAATAGAATAATAAGAAGCTAGGAAAATCCCAGAACAAGTGGGACAGGGAAAGCAGTAGCAAGAAGTTGAGGTGAAAGCTTGCTGCCCTGGCCACCAGGAGCGGGGAGCAATGGGCAATGGAGGCTCGTCCCAGGCTCACCCCCCTGAACCTGTCACCAAGGCCCCCTTTCCTCTGATTTCCCAGTGAGCCAAAGCAGCCCAGCCTTGGCTCTCTGGTTGCTTCTTCTTCTATGCCCTTCCTTTGTTTCACTGTCCTAAGTACATTTTTGCTGTAGCCAATACATTCTTGCTTGCTTTTCTATACTTGGTCTCTTGATTGAAATCTTTCCTTAAAAAAGACAAGAACCGAGGTCTCCTCGTTTCACCAGTAACTCAAGGACTGGCATATTTTGGGTCTATTACCCAGGCTACACGTGACCCCCTTTCTAAAACACTCATGTAGCCCATAGAGGTATTCTTACGTTGCAGGAGAGCTAGAGCCATTTTATACTCACACATTAAGTTACTTGGGGCTCGCCTGTGATGTTTCAAAATTAGGGTTAAAAGTTTATTTCCTAACCTGACACCGTCCAATCACAACAACAAACGAACTCACAACTCTTTACTGCCCATCACCAACTTTGGCCCTGAGCCTGACATTCTGGGTGAATCATACCCTGGCCTCTCCAGCCATGATCTCATCGGGGAAGCTATGCAAGAGGATAATCTGGACTAAGGAAACTTAGCTCCCATTTTTTCTCATCCTGTCAGCCCCAATCACAGGCTAAAGTGGGATTTTCAAGCAGAGCTCTTGTCCTGTAAGCAGGAGAGCAATGCTTTTACCATAACCTGTTGCCCCAGCGCATAGTGCTTACCTGCGACAGGAGGGTGCTGTTGCGATGTGGTCAAGGATGACCCAGAATGCGATGTGTGGGAGAGCCATTCTTCTGTATGTGAAACACGGAAGTATGTGTGGTTAGGTTAGGGTTAGACATTTAAGGGGACCTGTGAGCCTCTCTTTGCCATCACATTCTCCACCTGCCAGTCTCCACTGTCATTTCTAATGGGTGAGATTTTAAGGAGATGGGTGCAGGGAAAGGAGGTTGTCCAGGGCAGAGCTGAGGTTGCCACACTGATCCCTGCTGTGTGGGCCAAGCAACCTGGGAAAGGAAGCTCCAGTACCTGCTTACTGTTCACAGGCTTAGCTCTGAACCATGTGCCTTACATTGTGCCAGACACCTGATTCTGTTCAATGTCTCCTTTTCTCTAGGATCAGCCTGGCTCCTTGTTCTCTGGTCTTCTTCCCTGTCTCACGGTTAGATTGATGCCGATACTATTCTGAATATAGCTTTAGTGCTTCCTGATAATCACACTGCTCCTGTAACTTACCTGTGTTAGGTTGTGCTAGGTTAGATAAGCCCTCCTTCGAACCCAAACCCTACTATCTCGTCATCTGCTCTGGGCTCATTTTAGCCCTTCAAGTAAGATCAACAACAACAATAACAACTTCTTATAGAGAGAACAATCACACACACACATATATATATAAAAAGCTGCTTGAATTGAACACATCTCAATTCAAACTTAATTCAAGTTGGAATAAGTGGATAATTTATAATTCTGTCTCAGTCCCCACCCAAACTCCTACTTCAATCATCAAATTATAAGGGGAGGAGAAGGTTATAAATGCAGATCTGCACACCATGAAGTAGAGTTTGAAGAACCTCAATTCAGATAAAACCTATTTTAGAATCGTCCTTGGTTTTTTGAACCTTGAACACAAAAGGCCTTTGTAAAGATTTAGAGTCATCTGGAATTAACATATGGATATGATAGCATTGATAGTGAGACTTGAAAAAATATTGAGATGTCTTCCTCTACCTCCTAATGAAGGTTGCCAATCATTTTATTGTCAAGGATTAGCAGAATTTACTGGCTGAATCGCCTTAGTTTCCTTGTGATATTTCTTTCAAGCTCTAATTAGTATGTGTTAGGAAGTTCCATAAGTGGCACAGGCTGTGTTTATCGGAAAGCAGACACCCAGATGGAGATTTGCATGTGTGAAATTTATTAGGGAGTGTTTTTAGGATCAGCAAAGGTAAGGGGAAGATAAATGAGCAGAGTTGAGAAAGAGGAAACCCTGCTGCTCCTGCTAACTTTCTAAAGCTGGGAAGGCCTTTGGAGTTGTTCTGAATTGGGTGAAGGGACAGGACTTTTTACTCCGACATTAGCCAGTTGTGGGGAAGCTATGGAAGAGGATAATGTGGACTAAGGAATTAACATATGGAGGGAGGGAGTTTGGCAGGGAGTTTGACCCTGTGTAAGGTGGCTCTCTTCTGCCAGGACACTTCTCAAAGGAGTTGACAGCAAAGTGATATCAGACAACAAGTTCCCAAGAATTACTCCTTCAGCTCATAAAGGGAGACCTAGGTGGTATAACACAGAATCATGATAATGAACAAATATTTATGAGGGAAAAAAATTCATGGTTTTTGGTAGATAGAAGGCTATAAAAGTACTAAATATGCTTCTGATAGCAAGAGACTAGGTTGGAAATCCATTAACAGGTACATTGGCTGTTCAGCAGCTAGAAAGCCTGTTTGAATTCTCTGACTTGCTACATCTTCACAATTGTATTATTTGAATTTCAGTGCCATATAGACTTTGGGCACTCAATAATATTGATTGGTTAACAGTCAATATAAAGAACAATTATTGTTTCAGAACCTTGTTGCTATGTTAACTGATTTGAGGCAAATTTAATATAAGATGAGTTTAGAGTAAAAGTTCTTTTCCCCTAAACCAGTCACTGTGTGTGTGTGTGTCTGTGTGTGTGTGTGTGTGTGGTGTGTGTGTTTCTATTTGCCCTTGCATAGAATGACTATGGTTTAATATTTAGATAAACACCCCCTCCAATCACCAGTGACTATGTCATTGGAAAGTATCAAAGTAAGCTATAACTGAGGTCATCTTTCCTACATCTCTCTAGCTATAACACATGTAAGAATCACTTGGAAAGCTTAATGAAATACAGATTCCTGGGCCTCACTCCCAGAATTCCAGTTCAGGAGATTCAGAAAAGATCAGGAAAAGTGTCCTGCCAAGCCTTATTGGAGCATGAAGTGAAAGGGAAAAACAGTAATACTGATCCTGTCTTTATGTAAAATTTTGATATTTAATAATGACATTGTTTTACATTAATTCATTAATTTTTTAAATTGATGTGTGTTTGTGTGTGTGTGTGTGAGAGAGAGAGAGAGAGAACTCACAACATTGTTCAGTTGCCTCCCATTTGTGCCCTGACCAGGGATCAAACTTGCAACCTTTTGGTGCTTAACACTTCAACCAACTGAACCACCCAACTAGAGCACAAATAATTTCTTACTGTAAGTGTTCCATGCAATATTTGGGCATCTTGTATTTTCATTGGCTAAATCTGGCAACTACTTCTCAACATTTTTGTAAAAACATTATGATTCTTATTTTATAGATGAAAAGAATGGAGGCACAAAGAGATTAAGCAACTTGCCCATGGTCACACAGCTGAGATTTGAACCAAGGCTGTATGACCCCAGAGGCCCTGCCTGCATCACTGGAGAATATGTTCCTGTTGTGTGTGTAAAACCCAGCCCATGGAGCTGAGTTCTCCCCGTGGAGGTTGGTGGGTTGGCTTAACTTGTAATCAGAGGGTGGTTTTCTTGCTTTTCCTCTGCTGGAGATTTGTGAACATGGTGGGAGGAGATGTAGTCAGAGAGGTGAAATGGTGTCAAATCGCACAGGGTCTTGTTTGCTTGGTGAGGAGCCTGAATTTATTCTAAATGCAATGGAGAGACCTATGGAGAATTTTAATCAAGGGAGGGATATGTGTTAAAAATCACTATGGATACTTGTGAAGAGAGAATTTCAGAGGAGCAAATGAGGGAGTGAGGAAAACAGCCAGGAGGGTTATAGCATTGGCACAGATAGCTTGGATCAAGGTAGACCGAGGAGAAGTGGAAAAAGAGGATGGAGGGAAGAGCTGATAGTCTTGGATATGAAATATGATGGGGAGTGGGAATCAAGGAGCACTCGAAAGCATTAGGCTTGAGAATTGGATGAATGGTTGTGCTGTTACCAAGGTCACACATCAGAATGCTTTGGGCCATGAGTTGCAGAAGAACCATCTCTGTTTTCATATAACAAGTAGTACAATGGTTGAATATTCCAGGTTTGGTTAATTTAGGGGCTCAACAACATCACTAAGATCCTAGGTTACTTCTTTCACCATCTCTCTCATTTAGATCAGCCTATTGATGGTCTCAGGATGGCTGTCACTGTTTAGGTATAGAGTAATTCTGCAATACCTATAATATAGCTATAATATAATGCAATAGCTCTTCTAATTAAACTTTGTTTTATAGATGAGGAAATTAAAATGCAGAAAGATTAAGTTACTTGCTTAAGGTCATACTGCTAATAAGTGACAAGCCAAGATGCAAACCCTGGATGTCTACTGCAGACCTTGCTCTTAGCCTCTACACCAAAGGGAGTAAACAATTAACATTTCAATCTAAGTAGAGAT